GACTGTAATTATATCTTTGAATATTGTTTTTATCGGTATAAATATTTAATTCGTTGTCAAAGAATTAAAACCCAATTAAATATTATTGCTATACGCATATGTACATTCACGGTCCTACTTAGTGTCGATACATAATTTTTGGCATTGTACATGGTCATGTTTTTCTTTGACTATTAATGACGTTTTACACTAAATCCATTGGATGTTGGATGTGGATATTTCAGTCTTACATGATTTTTAAAATTATTTGATATTGGCTTTTAACTAGCTCTCAGTAGCTGCGAGTATTCACTTTTCAACTGTTTTTTGATAGTTTGTTCTTATGCTGTGCTGTTACAATACTGTCCAAGGTTAGGGGAAAGGTTGGGCGACAGCAAACCTGTTTAACCTTACCACATTATCCACGTGCTTGTTCCACGTCAGGCGCCTGTCATTAAGTGGTTATCGTTTGTTGCTGTTTATCTTATTTGTTTTTCGTATATTGTTTTACAGTTAATTCTCGTATTCTTCTGTTTACCATTGTCGCAGCTTTAGGGGGAATGTTGGACGCCCACTTACATGTTTAATCCCGTCACATTCTATATATGCCTGTCCTAAGTCAGGAGCCTGTTATTCAGTAGTTGTCATTTTGCTGTATTGAAACCGTATTAGCAATACCAAAGACCTGTTGGTAAACCTTATAAACAAAACGTACAGTGGTTGTTTAGGAGGAAATTTACATGTTTAATCATCTCATCACAGTTCTACTTTATTACAGATGAGGTTGTAGCAAATAAAAGTCATATCTATTAACTGAATTATAAGGACCATCAAAAGCACGTAATTTATCTTAATCATACAAAGAGTTTGTTACACTCCAAAAATTAATCATTTCATTAATAAAAAATGCTTTATTAACAAAGTTAATGATAACTTATTGAATAGTAGTTAGAGAACTGGTCAAAAGGACAGACATATGAGTAATTTAATCCTTACTAGAAGCCAAGATGAAACAATATTTGGTCCAGTTTTGCACATTTGGGTAGCCAAATAGTATGGACCTTCAAACTTTAAGAGGATACTCAACCTGAGATGTTTATATGTCATGATTCATAATTAGTTGACTTACTGTGGAGCGTACGACCTATAATGTAAATGAATTTATAATGTCAATCAGAAGAACTTCTGTGAAGTATTTACGTCATACCACTACCACATTAGTGGCTGCTTTGACGGTCCTTACGAATACGAAACATTTCAATGGGCGTATTAATTACTCTTTTAGTAATTTTCAAAATATTTTTGAAATGCAATAAGCAAATATCCACAATATTCAGACATTTATTCAACCAGAAGTCAAGTTTTGTCGGATTCCTCCCGTTTACACCAACGGAGTTAACCGGAGAGGTCGCACTCTCAATGACGTTCAATTGCAATACAAGTAGAATGTAGACATTGTCCGCACAGATACCAGGCTTATAATATAGTTCGCCATGAACACGTTTCGTATAGATACTTTTCATCAGAGGCGCTCAAATCATAATAATTGCAATTAGGAGGTCATTTTAATTGCGGAGTATTTTTTACCTGGAAGTAATATAATCGTCTGACATCAAAGAAAAGGAAAAGCCAGATAGCATATACCTAATGTCTACAGCAGTCAGTAATTTGTTCGTGAAGTTAATTGATAAAAAGGATGAAATTGAAAAAAAATGTATTTATTAGTTAATGTTATGACATTTGAAAAGCGGTATACTACCTATTCTGACATCGGACTCGGACTTCTTTTAAACTGAGTTTTACTGTGCGTATTGCTATGTGTATCTTTATTCTACATTGGCTAGAGGTATAGGGGGAGGGTTGAGATCTCACAAAACATGTTTAACCCCGCCGCATTTTTGCGCCTGTCCCAAGTCAGGACCCTCTGGCCTTTGTTAGCCTTGTATGTTTTTTAATTTAAGTTCATTTATATGTTTTGGAGTTTTGTGTGACGTCCATTTTCACTGAACTAGTACACATTTTTATTTAGGGGCCATTTGAGGACCACCTACGGGTGCGGGATTTTCTCGCTGCGTTGAAGACCCATTGGTGGCCTTCGGCTGTTGTCTGCTCTTTGGTCGGGTTGTTGTCTCTTTGATATATTCCCCATTTCCATTCTCAATCTTATATACTACTGTTGCCTTTATTTATACTATTCTGATAATTGTCAGCTTTGTGAATAATGTAATCTATACTTTAGCATTTCGAATACGTTAGGCCTTTAAGACAAATTTTGTTGATAAGTAACAAAACTCAGCCACTTAATCATGTGAATCAATTTTCCTATACCACCAATAAAATAGATGGTTGTTTCCAGATATCATGCATGATGCTCAAGCAAACCGAAAATTAACAGTCTCCTGCTCTGTTTATTACTTGGAGTTTTTGAGGTTGAAGATGTTTTTAGTGTGATGTCTCTGAGCGTCTTTTAGAACAGAGATCGCAAATTTAAAATATGGAAAAATGATAAAAACCATATAGCAGGAAATAAGGTATGATTAATTACATTAATGGTACCTATTTTGACTGCACCGGATGTGCATTTCGACATATAATGTCTCCTGAGGGACGCTCGAGGCCACAAATGTTTATAAAAATATATTATAATACAAACGTTCATCAGCTTCTGAAATTAGATTCACAAAATGACCTTTCCAACGTTTTGCCATGTCTGATGGTGTAAAACAGAGACAAGGTTCAAGTAAACATAGCTGTATATTCTAGAAATAAGCAATGAAAAGTGTTAAACATTTTATTACACAATATGATAGTAGTCCCTCTTTATTGGAATTTTGAAATTTAAAGGAAAAAACTAAATCAAGGGACACATATTTCCATGAGTGTAATTTAATCATTTAGATATCAAAAAATTTAAATTGTCAATTGATACAGCTTTACATAATTTTCTGAAGAACTTAATCACGAAAAGCAACATCAAAGATAAACCGAATTATATCTAATCAAAATTTAAACATATCGTTGTTAATGAAATAAAAATCAAAACATTAAATCAAACATGTCAGAGTCATATTATTTTTTATCTTTAATAATTCACGAAAAGCAAAACAATTGCTTATATATTTTCCAAAAAAAACAATGTAAATAATTATTACAAAACGCTTGAGTCAGTATTGACGTTAATGAAACATATGTAATAAAGAAACTATCTCCATTGCTAATTAACAATGTAAATATTTCACTTAATAAGTTAAAATCATGCGAACAATTGTCGCTTTCAAACCTTCGTTATAACTTTTAATTTGCAATTTGCCCAAAAAGGACAAAAACTTTATGGAATAATAGCGGGAGTTCGATTCAATGTCACTGTTCTTTAACTTTAGATATAAAAGCAAAACCAATGTTTTTATTAGCAAGTGACATACCTCCTTACAAAAAAGAGTCAACATGTTCCGGATTAACGATACTAACCATTCTAATAATTCAAAATTATATATCAAATTCCTAAATATCCTATCATTATTGTAAACTAGATTCTTTTACTGTTTATTGACATTATCATAAAGAAGTGTCAAGTATGGAGCATCGCCTGCTTACCTTTGCGGAGCATCTGATATCGTCCCTGGATATTTTTAGTTGTTCGTGTTACTTAGTCTAGTTTTCTTTTCTGAACTGTTATTTGCCTTTTGGTCGGTTTTTTTTATGGTATTGGCGATTTCCAACGACTTATGATTTGTGATGTACTTTTTTGCACTTAATAAAAACCTTGCGAAAACTCTATACATCATTTTTTCATAATTACAAACCTAATCAAAATTTCACTTTTGGAAATAGAATAACCAAACACCTTTTTTACGTTAATGTTCCTTCAGACGTTTAGTAGTACCTGAGAAGATGTGGCGAAAATATGTGTTCGGGGAATGGATAGACACGGTGACAGCAATATGGAATTTCTTAAGAAAGACACCTTAATTAACACGTATGGTAAATAATCCCTATTCATTAGCTTACATGCCATTCTTTCCTCTAGATAAAATTACCTGGTAATAGTTAATAATCAAATTTAGATGTTTTCGACCGATGAAATAAATCATGTTCTTAGTAGGAAATTATCCTATTGTTTAGGTCTATGTACAATTCAAAACGGAGAGTTACAATAAATGAGTTGCAAATGCACCGAAGCACATTTATTAGCTTGAAAGAATTTGTGATTGAAACTGACTTAAAGTTTGATTTTAAAACAACCATCAAAATCAAAATAATTTGAAGTTTACTGGTGTAGTAAACATTGTAGTATTAATTTTATTATGAAAATAATAATAACTTCAAACTTACTAAAAGATCAAACAATATCAAAGCGATGGAAAAAAGAAAAATAGTTTTATATTTAGATACAACCAAAATCTCTAGCTAACACGCTAACCAAAACTGGATTCGCAGTAATTTATTATATTTCGATAAAATTAAGTAAACTGCTGGAGTTTAAATTAATTTTTGAATATATAAAAGGCATTAATTAGCTAACGTTCGTACTTGATCATGAAGAAAAGGATTATCATTCTCTTACATACACAAAATGCCATGTTTTCTTCTTTTATAAAATGAAAATGTAATGATTTAAAAAACAAAAAAGAGAAAATTTAGAAATGAGCGATAAAATCAAATCATTTAAACCAAAATGTAAATAATTGTTATTGTCAATTCTTATTTAGTTTGCTATGTTTTGATAAAGTCTTTACTCGATAAGCTTTTGTCCAAAAGTTTCTGTTGAACACATCAGTAAACATTATGAGGACAGCGGAAAGATAAATACTAATGATGTTTTGGTTTAATAATAGACTCACTGGTAATGTGGTATAATAATAGACTCACTGGTGCTCTAGACGCCCTGCTTCACTTGTTGGGCGCGTTATAGTATTCATAACAAGGGAAAAGAAATAACGAAAATCTCATTTTCATTTCCAACTGAAGTGCACGTGGACTAGATAGTTTTTGTAACAGACTGTTGTCAATTGTAAAATGCATTAAGTGTGAACTTTTATTTTCAATATATGTTAACCGATTCAAAAATATATTAGTGTATAACTGGGTCATTCATCCATAAATTCAAGATACTGGTATTCCTTAAAGCTATCTGTTACTTGTGTTTTACATTATTTGAAAACATAACTGCTGCTCGAATGTTTTGTCCATCATAATTTCTATGTCCCATTTAGTTGGACATGATTTGTCGATATGGTCAGCCCATTCTCTAATTTTACTAGACACCTTATGTGGATTGTTCTTGTGTATATCAATAGCTGAATCCACAAGAGTGTAAATGTCTAGAGGCATTACAAGTATACCTACGACACCGCCAGCAATATGAAGACCTTGTCCAGCAGTAGATCCAATTGTTCGAAAAGCCGAAGCGCCTGCTCTTGCACCAACGGCTAAAGCATCATCGGCGTACGACGCGGTTATACGTAATGAAGCCAATATTGTCCTTGCTAATATATCCCATGTAATACACTTGGTTGTCGTACCTGCTCCAAAAGCAAGCTTGCTCCAAAAATCCACCCAATGTGGAAACTGTTCCATTTTCTCATCTTTTTGTTTCAGCATTTCACCTATCTCAATGCATTCTTCTTTTATAGTTTCAACAAGCTCGTTGTACTTATCTAATATAGCTTGTGCTGACTCTCTTCTTTGTTTTGAAAGCATGGCGTCTGTAATCATGGATCCTCCCACTGTGATTCCTCCTGCTCCTGCTATTACACTACCTATGGTTATGATAAGAAATCGATATCGTATCTATTATGTATTACAAGTTATATATTATGTGTTAAATTGTAAGGTTTAAACAACAATTTATCAAAGAACCATACATTATGCAAGCCAAATAGTTTTATTTTCATTTAAATAATTTTCCTTTCAACAACTGCCTTTTTACAATAAGTTTGATAATCAGTCGCATTTTGTAAAATGTTCAGAAAATAAACACGTTCTGCTACATATGTTCCAAAATGTTTCTTAAGTATAAAAAAGATCATCAACTCAACGAAATATCATCATTTCGTTTGGATACTAAAATGTAACAGTTTATGCACAAATATTGGGTTTTATTGTTGAGTACTGACCTGCTATAGTAAGACCTAATGACGCCCCAAATGTCACAAATGACAATCCGAATCCTACCACAGCCAATATTCCGCCACCAATAGAAGTAGTTGATCCAGCAATTTTTGCTTTGCATATTTTTTGAAAATGCTCGTCTAGATTTACTGCCAGATCTTTTAATTCCTTCACAGCTTCATCTTTACATTTTATCCATTCCTTTAAGTTTTTTTCAAGCTTGTGTGCTTTGTTGTAGAGACTGTCAGACATGTTTTAAGCTGAATATGTTTCCAATCTGAAAATGATTGATGCAATTCATGATGGGGTTATGTATATATCAATCAGACCCAAATGATACGAAAGGCTGGTTGCTTCGCACCACGATGAGGAGCTATTAGTTTCATACGATACCCTAGCCATCTTGAAAGTAAAACGTAAGCACTATCGGTCTCAATATTGGTTGGTTTATGATATGGAACAGATTCTTTTGGCTAATATAAGATATAGATTTAGGAACATGTACCGGACAGGAGAAGATAAATGCAAAACATTACAGTATGGGCATTGAAGACCCGATTTGATACCCGATAAAGGAACTATCTTTACCTTTTACTAATTTACCTTCCTTTATAAATTTGCGCAAATTCATCTTGGAAAATTGACCCAAGAAACTTAATTTTTATTAATTGATAACGGATAAATTAATGCTAAATGTGTATTGTTGTCAAATGTTAAGCATAACGGATACATCATTCAATGTACTACGACATAACAAGCTAATAAAATTGCTATGTAGGGGGAAACGCGTAAATGACATGAACAATCAGATATGTATGGAAAATGATATGAATAGAGGGTGTTCATGGTATACCTTTGATTATTATACTTCATGTCAAAATGCCAGAATTTGATTGATTAATACGGAGACAATTTATTCTATCCGTTGGAAAATAATTTATTCACACCTTTTATAGACTCGAGACGTATTGCATAAACGCCTGTTTATTGTTGTTGTTTCTAGATGTTTTACAAACTGTTTCCATTGGTTGGTTGTTGTCTTACTAAAAATGTTAGATAAAGAGGGTTAGCTATACGTGCCAGTAACTGCGCAGCTGAAGAGACCATCGAATTGATATATAATATAAAATCGTATCATATGATCGAAACCAAATTTGTATGAATTATGCCGTTAGTTATCTCAATTGTATTGTTTCATATTTTCATGTCGGGGCCTTTTATAGCCGACCTTACGGTATGGGTTTATATCATTGTTGAAGGCCTGATGGTTGCCTATAATTGCTCACATCCACTTCATTTGAACTTTGGTTGATAGTTGTCGCATTGGCAATCATTCCACATCTCCTTATTTTTATATATATGTTATATTTAGGCTACAAGGTAGACATATTATAATATTTCTTTTATTCATACATAACAAGAAGATGGATATTGAAGGTTTTCAAGGGGGTAGTTAGGTAGGAGTGGGGCAAACGACGTATTACAATATAAAAATACACTTTTGTATGCTATAAGATCACTGCAGACAAGTATGTATATAGGTATGGATGTAAGGGAGCAACCATTTAACTTTTAGGGGGATATGTTTTTTTTGTATGAGTCAGAAACATTTTTTTCACGCAAAGCGCGAACATTTTTTTTTAGTTTTTCGACGCTATCAATCAAATTATTTTTTTTCTAAATTCAACACTATAAGGTATGGGGAAAATCTGGATTCAGAATATTTTTTTTGTCATCTGCTTGACCACAATATTTGTTTTCATCGTTTTCATCAAATTGGGGATCAGAATATTTTTTAGGAAAAAACCATAACCCCCCCCCTTTTGAAGTTTAATGGTCGTTCCCTAATAGACAGTGCATGCTCATCAGATAGACAAGTACATGGATAGATTAGATGACAAAATTATTGGTAGATAACATGAGATGTAGGACATACCTAAACAGAAACATTTGTGAATGGTTATATACTGTAGGGCTAATTGTTGCATGAATTACAAAAGCAGTGACAGAGAATGTTGATAAAATATATCAAATCCTAATAAGTGTGCTAAGTCTACAGAGATGAGGTTTATTTGATAATGAAAAATATGTTCTATTCGGAGGTTGGTGATTGTTTGAAAGAATACATGAAACCATATATCGTTAGTGGTATCAATTAAAATCAAGTGAATATAAATCTTCAGTCATTTAAAAAATTAAATATAAGACAACTGCTAATAATTTGTTGGGTTGGAGATCATCACTGTAAAACAAATCTTACATAGGACATATTAAAAATTGCGCATGAATTTGGAATATATCTGAGTTATCTCGCCATAAAGATATTAGATAAATACATATGAAATTAAACAGATAATAAACAAATGTAGGTTACCTTAAACGTTGTAGTGTTTTCAATTTCTTCCCTTGCAGAAAGCTTGTTGTTCTACTTTCCGTTTAGGAGCAACTGTGAGTACGAACACTGCATTCGTCTGTAATCTTAACCTATAATATAAATAGACGTTACCACTACGTTCTTCAACTGAGTCAATTTGTGCCTATGTTGATTTGCTAAAAATCTTAGTGTTTAACTAGAAACTTGTGTTACGTAAATCGATAAAGCTGACGTAATCTACAAGCAGGGATATTTTGATTCATATCTATATAATAAAATGCATGTAGTTTGTATTACGATTTTCGGAAAATTTCTAATGGATTTTTGCCTTGTATTGATTTGATGAGTCAATCCCATTTCAACTGATTTTTATAGTTTTAGTTTGTTCGTCTGTTGTGCTATTACAAAACTGTCCCAAATTAGTTATATTATTTGGATTTTTTATTGTTATTGTTTGGTACAGTTAGTTCTTGTATAGTTTTGAACCACTGTTCTATGTTAGGGCACAGGTGGATGCCCCCGAAAATGTTTTAACTCTCCACATTCTGTATGTGCCTGTCCCAAGTCAGGAACCTGCAATTCAGGGGTTGTCGTTTGTTGCTGTATGTTTGTTTTTCGTTTGTTGTTTTGTACAGAAATAAGGCAGTTTCTTTTTTTCATTTGAATTGTTTATCATTTTATGTGTCGAAGCCTTTTGTAGCTTGCATTGGGTTTACCTCATTGTTGAAGGCCTTACGGCGACCAATAGTTGCTAACACTTCTGTCATTTGGTGAATAGTTATCTCATTGACATCAAACCATATCCCTTTATTTTATATCACATTTGTTTTATGTTGTACTACCAAATATAAGTCCATTGTCCACATCACAAAAGGTGTCCCATTCGCCTCTACAGCATATTTTAGGTAAGGAAGTTGAGCATTACTACTGAGTCGAGAACAGATTTATTATGAGGCGAATTGCTGTTACTTTGTTTAACCCCTATATGATACAAGATAATTATGATCAAATTTCAACTTCTTAGGTCAAATACTTTATATTTCACTAGATGTTGGATAACCCGAAATACATTTTCGCGTATGATTCCAGTATATGTGTAAACTCATAAACCTTCAACAAAGACGACTCTCATAGGGATAAAACACCCATTTATTTTTTACTGATAATTCTTTGTTAAATTGGCATTTTTCAAAAAAAAAATGTGAAGAATTTACCCTTAGTAAAAAAAGAAACACTTAGTACGCATAGTTTCATCTTGTCAAGTACTACAGTGGAATTTTCACTAAATATTCTATTGTCTATAAAAAAAAAATATTACTGGAGGTAAACAAAGTTACTTTTCACCACTTTTTGCAAGTTTTGTAACCAGGTCACCTCAAGTTTCCAATCATTTTTTGTAGTAACAACAAATAAAGAAAGAAAGGTGCTTTGAAACATTGGCGACGTTAGTTCATGTGAAGAGTAAGAGCTAATTTCTAATGAAACTATTCCTAATAAATTTTGGTGTCAAAGACTCTTTCTTCCTTTACTAAAAACCGAACTTTAACATCTTTATACTTTGAAGTATTAATCATTAGAATTCGTGATGTGATAAGATTATAATTTCTGCAAGTTGGTTGAAAAATACAATTTGGATAAAATGAAAAAAACAGAGGCTCTCAAGAGCCTGTGTCGCTCACCTGATTCTACTTTGGTTTAGGAAATCATGTAAAAATAGATTAAAATCATAACAGATACCCTAATAATGAGTGAGGCCAAATCTGGCGGCCATCGTGGATGAAGGATCAGCTTCAAAGTAACAACACCTGGTCAGCACCTCATAAAGAACATTCATGCCATGTTTGGTTTCAATCCATTCAGTGGTTCTCTAAAAGAAGACATTTGTATGTATTGTCCATAGGGTCCTTTGTTAAACATTGTCCCCCGCTGGCGGCCTGAGTTATGGATCGGCTTCACAGTAACAACACTTGGTCAACACCTCATAAGGAACATTCATGCCATGTTTGGTTTCATTCCATTCAGTGGTTCTCTAAAAGAAGACATTTGTATGTATTTCCCATAGGGTCCTATGTTAAACTAAGTCCCCCGCTGGCGGCCATCTTGGATGATGAATCGGCATCAAATTAACAACACTTGGTCAGCACCTCATAAGGAACATTCATGCCATGTTTGGTTTCATTCCATTCAGTGGTTCTCTAGAAGAAGTTCAAAATGTAAAAAAGTTAACGACGACGACGACGGACGCCAAGTGATGAGAAAAGCTCACTTGGCCCTTCGGGCCAGGTGAGCTAAAAAAAGCTGGCCTTCAGAACTAAATCATAGCATTGTTGCTTGAATGCAGTTCAGTACAATTTTTTTTATGATGACAATCATTGAAATTTTTTATAAAAACTTGCAACATTTGGAAATGTGAATAAAAATTCCTTCATTAGTTATATCTATAGTGCACAACACATCATTTACTCTATATATGTGTGTATTATTGAAAACATTCTAAGAATATTTCTTAAAGGGGCATTGGCTGTCAAATTCATGTTCACTGATGTGACTCAAATTCTCATATTTTATTCATAACATACTAAACGTATATCCTAATTATAAAACGTCAAAAATAAACAATTAACAAGGCATGGGCTCGATCATATGTATGATCGTTGTGTGTGTATTTTAGTCTAGACGCCAACTAATTAATTATCGAGTTGACCTCCGAAGTCTGCCGACGGTTATATAAGCGAACTAAACATAAATATATAGATATAAAATATATGTACATTGTCGGAAAATACCTAATTTATTTGTACGAGCTTTAGAAACTGGACGAAAAGCGAGGCTCGCCCTGCATTTCTCCTGTTAAGTAGCGAGTATAAATACATTTTATATTTTCGACGAAGAACATATATTGTTTTTATTCTGCAATTTTCACCCGGTACTTCAGCATTAGTTGTTTAAATCCAAATCATTGCCTCTGATTTTTCTGAGAAATCGACATAGTTGAAACGTGGACCTCGAAGAGACCCCACAACGAACATCATCGAAGTATCTTAGCTTATTTTGACAAAATTGAAACATACTGGCTGCTAAAAGTTAATTTGATTTCATTTTCATGAATGATTGAAAAAAAATCATATTTAAAAAATTTTATATATCTCGTGGCTAGTGCCCCTTTAAATGTTTATTTTTTAATTTCCAGTAGGTTCCAATGTAGGTAGGCATATATTTGGATAAGACTGAATGAAGAAGCATATTAGTTGATAAGGAAGGTATGTGTGCATAAAGACAGGTAAATACGCATTTAGGAGTGGAGAAAAGTAAGAAGCTTGGCAGTTTGGAGTAAAGGAAAATAGGTAGACAGATACACTAGTGGGCATGCATGTAGGTACATGAACATATGGGGACACGCCACCGAGCAGACACGAAGGAAACGTACCCGACTTGGATGGAGAGTTGTCTCATTGGCACACATACCACATCTTCTTATATCTATATAGGTAGGAAGGCAAATATATATATGGTAGTATAAAGAGTGGGATATAAAGCAGGTAATTGTGTGAAGAATTCGGTAGATGGAAGTAATGATAGAAACGTATATCATGAAATGTAGCTATATGTATTCATCTAAATATGTGTGAAGTAAGTGTGTAAATATGTATGATACAAGGTTTTACTAAACACGTAATGATCTAATTTTATTTATATTTAATTCACAATGATAAAGGATCTTGGTATGCAAAGAAGAAGTTATTAAGGAAGCTGTATAGTAAACAAATTTTTTAAATGTAAAAAGAGAGTTTGGTATGCTTATAGGTGGCAGACATGTAAGCAATTCGTGCATCTTTAAATAGAAAATAAAATATATAGCACATGGACAAATTTAGACAATTCAGCGTCTCGCTATAAAAAAAATGGAGAATCAGAATTTAATACGTTAACATGAAATTGATATCATATGATTATCACATATCTACTTTTTTAACATTCATAGTGAAATTAATTTCTTACCTTTATTGAAACGATTACACCCTATTTTGAGTTTACACGAAAACGAAAGCTGTAATACATGTAGCCTGTGACTCTAATCGATAATGTTAATGTACATAAAAAGTACGTGGGTTTTACTGATATCTTTTATATTTACAGATTTGAACTTTGTATGTGGATTTTGTTGTCTCTTTGACACATTCCCCATTTCCATTTCTCAATTTTAGTTATATAAAAAAATCTTTGTTGTTTTTGAAGTAGATTGACCAAGATTGTGCTCCGTAATTCAATATTAAGGTTATCTAAAATTGTAAAATTGTTATAAATATAACAACAGCTGTTAACACAACATGCACAAGTATATGATAAAACGATGTTTTTAAAAATACACATGGTGTGTGTTTACTTTTCGTGAATTATCACATGATTGCTGACTGTTAATCATCAACATGATCAAGTCTGGTCGATAGAAAAGGAAACATCCCAATTCGACTTAACTGCATATTTCAGTTTTGAAAGGTATAGAGCATGTAGAGTATTAAGGTCAAATGGAAATGTTTAAGGCAAAATAAGAATTTATTTGAATTTAATAATTGATCACTAGTCATACTATATTTACAGACTTGACTCATTGTATCAGTATTTTCATTCGACCACCTGTGGGCGTGAACATCAGAAGCTAAAAATGCAGATAATCTATTTCAAATATGAGCATGAAATTCAATGTAAAATCAAGACTACTGGAGGTTGTCTTTTCTGTCAGTTTCGAAATTTCAATATTCGCCGTAAAGCTAGAGTTATGGGCGAAAACAAAATTCGGGTTAATCAGAGCTCAGTGATATATTTTGAACCTACAAGCACGAGATATAAAATAAAATTGAAAAGAAACCAGTCGCATTATGAATGAAATTTAAACAGTTGTAGGAATTTGCAAAGGACTCACTAGAAGCATGGTCCTCCGGGTATCAAAGAAATGAAAACTTGATTATCTTTGACTTTTAAATTAGGAGCATTAAAGATATCTGTACTGAAGGTTTAGAATTTTCAATGTATATGTGCTGGGACTAGAGTTATTGGTAAAAATGCATTTCGAGTTGTTATCCTGTAGCTAGTGAATTATTATAAAGAATATGGTGTAAGAAAATAACTGATGTGATTTTAGAGTGATATTTCAGTTTCATTCAAGTTTAAAACTTGTGTTTGTAAGATAAATGGTAATCGTTCCTGTGATCTTCGAGTGGGGTTACTGCTATTGTATATAAGGGAGTGCCTTAAAAGGATGTTTGTTTAGTTATTGTACTATCCCATCTCGCCGGTAACAGCTTTTCATATGAAAGTCAAAGAATTGGACGAGCATTATAAACAGACAAGTGCATCAAATACGATCTTAAAAGTGTTTACACCAATGTCGATCTGGACCCGCCTCATTGACCTATTAAAGATGGAATGATAAAACATCATGTAGTATCAGTGACGGATTTCCCTATGATTTGAATAATAAGATGCATATAGAATAAATTAACAAAACATTAATTCTGAGGGAGGGATTCAATAACGTACGGGAATCTGAACTATATGGGGCTCTACTAAATTTACCCTTATCCTAAATCTAACTCTTACCCTTTACTTACCCCTAAATTAATACAAGCCCTGAATAAGCTAAGTCAAGCTTAAACTGAACCATTATCAAACCCGCGCCGAAACCAAAAGGTTCAATAAAATAAATAAGGTAAGGGGGGGGGTTCAAAAAGGTATTGAACGAAGAGGCAATGTGTTCAAATTTTTTTATCAAATACTTTCATTTCTAGAAATACCAAAATCTAGATACAGATAAATAGGTCGAAAACATCTAAAATATTGTTTCAGGGAGATCACGTTGTCTTTATTTTTTTATCTCTTTCTTAACCACCCTGCGAAATGTATCTAAAATGTGTCTTTTTATGTTGTAATGTTACACTACTGTCTTAGGTTATGGTGAAGGTTGGCGTCATTTTAAACATTTAAACCAGCTGCATTTTTATGCACCTCTCCTAAGTCAGGAGCCTGTTGTTCAGTGGTTGTCGTTTGTTGGTGTGTTTTATAAGTCTTTTCCCTTTATTGTTTTTATATCGAATAGACTGTTAGTTTTCCTGTTTGAATTGTTTTACATTATTATTATGGGGCCCTTTATAGCTTACTGTTTAATGTGAGCCAAGACAGGCCGTACTTTGACCTATAATTGGTAACTTTTTATACATTGTGATTTGGATGGAGGGTTGTCTCATTGGCATCCATACCACATCTTCTTATTTATATTAAAAGAGAAAGTGATTCCCATCTAGAACCAAAAGATACATCCATGTTGTAATCCTAGGTCCCGCCCGACCTTTTTAGTGAGGTACCTGTTTTTATCGTTTCCGAAATATAAAATATTCCAGATAGAGTAGAGAAAAATAAGCCAAAAAAAAAGAAATGAGATTTTGGGGTGCTAAAATATCATGAAAGAAAAGAGACAAAATTAATAAAGAATAGAGAAAAAATACTTAAAAAGTTAAGAATACAGAAATGGACAGTCCCCCATCCTGACCCTCTTCTATTGTCAAAATGAATAGAATGATGTAATTTGTAATTTATGGGCACAATGTTACTGTGACATAAGTGCTGTATTTTGAGAGAAAAAAAACCACCAGAAAACATCTATCATGTAAATACTACAACATGTAATCCCGTGAAATCAATATATATATATATATATTTATATGTATGTTTTGTTTTTCTCTCACTCAGTCTAGGAATGAGTCCAAATTTTATTGGTCACTTGATTCCTTCGTATCTTTTTTATTGTATATATAAATTTCGTCCTCGGTAATCTATATTTCGCAAACTCTCCGTTACAATAAAAGGAGGGAAACGGCGTTCCATAAGTTAGTTTATGTGGTTTATAAATAACATCATTTGCATTGATCGTCACAGTTTACTTACTTTACCTTGACTCATTATAAGGTTTTAAAATGAATCATTTTTGTGTCTTCTTGTTTATGTTTTATTTTCTGGACTTCAATATCACATATGCTGTCATCAAAACGAGTAAGTGTGTATATAATGATCTTTCATTATAAAACGATTTTCTTTAAATGTACTTGATGTCTGATGGCAAACCCGTAGTTACGACAGCTCGTTAGCGTTATAATTATATCAGTGTGTAAACTGGTAAAGAGATGATAAAAGTTACACTATTATGATCAAGGTAACAAAACCAATTGCTCGTTTACCACAGTAACTATATTGGTTAAAAGTTATTTTTAATTATAATCATACATATAAAAATCTGCTAAACTATGTTTATATTTGAAATATTCATGCAAATGCTTATTATAATCTTGCTTTCATTATTCTTCGAGCGAATTGAATTAAAAGCTTGTTAAACTGACATTAAAAAATGCTAATCTATGCTGCTTGCTGATACAAACATATATATAATAAATCATGTACATGCAGAATCTAAAGTTTTTTTCCATATACCAATTGTAAATGTAATAAAGCATATTTGAACAGATAGCGGCGTGTTCATTTTCACCAAAGAGAGGATGATCAACATGAATCAAGAAGAAAGATCATAAATAAAATTGATCTAATATAAAAAAAAAAAAAGAACTTGAAGACGTGGATTAATTGCCAATAAGACAACTCTCCACCAGAGACCAAATTATGGTATGACTGCCTATGTGATAACTCTCTACCAGAGACCAAGATGTGGAATTATTGCCACTGAGACAACTCTCCAGCAGAGAACAAATGACATAGAAGTTAAGTCTTCATATTTCGACTTCGTATTTGCTTTGGCCTTCCAGTTGTTTTTAATCGAGTGCCAATGACGAGTCTTATGTAGAAGAATCGCGCGTCTGGCATACCAAATTATAAGCCTGATATCTTTGATGAGTTTTCATATATGTTGAGAATTATGGTTTATGACATGTACTACTCATAATGAGTTGTCGAAACACACAACGTATTTTTGAACTAAATGAATCCTTATTACCAATATTTTGCATTTTTGAAACTTTTGGTATATGTACTGATATTGATAATTGCAGTATCCTTACCACCTCTCATATGCTCTTATGGTGATGAAGATTTCAAAGTTAATCCACAACATAGTTATAGAGTCGTCTATAATGGCGGGAAAATTAAAAGGTTCTGTGCTTTACTGAACTTTTACGGATTTTCTGATGACAAAGACTACAATGAATATACCTATCAAAAATGTATCAGCATGGAAGTATTTAACATCGACTGTGGGTCTACTAACGTCAGCTTGGAATACAGAACAATTATTGGAACATCCTCATTCAGGTCCCTGAAGGTACGTATGTACTAAATTACTATGCGGTCGTTTACATTTAATTCGCGGCAAATGTCTTAAAGTGTAACAAAGTCTTTATATGGATAAATGAATTTATTTTGTAATTACAAAGTCAAGAATATTTCTAAAGTTCAAATGTTCGAATGTTCACAAACTATCTTTAAAGTTGAATTGTTCGAATGTTCAATAAATCGTAACACGGACACCTAATCGAGTAGTGGCATAATTGTTCGGTCCTGTCTGAGTATTTTCGGATGGTAAGTGAAATAATTCCAGCATACTTACGAGGAGGGTGGGGGATCTTGGCGGAATCTCCCTGACGGAATCTGCTGGTCTAGTCCAGAGCTGTATCTTATATAGTTCAGAGGGCCATCAATCATCTTTAAACAATGGCCCATAACACTCGGTATTTTATAGAGTTGTCAAGGTATTTAATAATACATATACTAGGTAGGGCAGATTAACGTCGGCACAATACATGTTCGATAAATGACTTCAAGGTACATGTACTTGTATCAATAATGTTAGATTGGAATACACCTTGTTGTATATTGTTCTCTCCCCTATTGTGTAACAAGAGTTGCTGGATTTAGCGTATATTATCGATTTCCTAATAATATGTCAACATTCTAAAACACACTTTTAGCGCATAAAAATCATCTTATATCATTCTAACATATACACTAATATCTTAAAGATTTTTTTATATGGTTCGATAAATTTTGAAGACTTCCTTTTCCAATAATAAATCAAAGGCATTTTATCCTGTTCCCACGCAAAGTTTCGATGTCTTATAAGTATTGATATATCGTGAATATTATATTATAAATTATGTCTATATAGATGCACAGGGACGACGTCAAGTATTATACGCAAAATTACTATTTTAGTACAAAACTACAAGAAATCAAAGCTAATTTATTCAAATATGCCATAGTCGAGATTTCGTTTTTGTTATAAACGTTATTTGCAAACCCAATCAGCAACATAATTAAGAGCTACTTCAAAACTTTCTTAAAAACCTTAAGATAAGACCCTAAATGTAGTTATTGATCAGTTTACCAATTTTCACATTTTTGACTGAGTTCAAAGTGTAAGTGCAAAAATAATCAGCTCGACAAGATATATTCTTCCTTCCTGTTCTGTAGTTATAACCCTAGAATTATATTTTTTCAATTTTAGATGTTCTCTGAACTGTTTTGAAAACTATATGAGCTAGGTTAAATAAAGGCAACAGTAGTATACCAGTGTTCAAAAGTAATGAATCCATTGAGAGAAAACAAATCCGGGTTACAAACCAAAACCGAGGGAAACACGTCAACTATAAGAGGAAAACAAAGTAACAACAGGAACACCGAAGGGCAACAAAAACAACAAAAGCGTAGACACATACTATTTGACAACAACTGCCATATTCCTGACTTGGTACAGGACATTTTAAGAAAAATGATGGGTTGAACCTGGTTTAATGGCATGCCAAACCTCCCGCTTTATGACAATGTTAAAAAATATCGCTAAAACAATACGTGACTGAAATACAGCACAAACACACACAAGAACATTCATAACAGAGAAACGCACAAACAAATAATATAATAGAAGACATAACATGCAAACCACAGAACAACAGCGAACATATTCCATCAACGACAAACACCACAGGATATCAAAAATAGTGACGCGCTTACGTAACTAACATGCACTCTCGAACTTTATACAATTATTGAACAATATTCGTCCAAACAATTTTCATGACAATTTTGGTATGGGAAGGCAATTTTATAATTATTTGGACTACAAACGATAAGACAATAAAATGTAAAATACAAAAATGAACATCATGACAAGGTCTATTTATTCTGAAAATTTCAGCAATTTGGCAACCTGATTTTGACTTGTTTAACATGAAACGTAGTTTTTTAAACTATTTGTTTGTGTTGTTTTGTTTATTATCTAAACCAAGTGGGAGCTGGGTTAATAAACATGTAAATGATCAGCAACACGAAAAATAATTATTATGTCAATATAAAGGTGTTCATTAGCAGACTGACTATTTGCTTGGTTAAGCAGACTGTCTATTTTCTTAGTTTTCTCACTGTAACACAGTTTGTTAATCTTCAGGATACAGTTCTACAACATACATATTCATGCAATGACCAAGCATCGAACATACCAGAATTTTGTACCACTAATTCCAGCTATCACGAAGATCTGTACATAAATTTGGTTGCAAACGAGAATACTGCATCAAAAATCGTTTTTAAAGTCAGAAATGGAGACAAATATCAATTAGACTGTAACAATACAATCTTTGGTAAGTACAAACAATAACTACTTGTAGTCTATACTACCATAGCGATGTGTTGTCTTATTGACATATACCTCACATCACTACATGTGTTCATTTTTATTTAGTGCACAAGTTTTTTGGTCATTCTGAAGGTTTTAGCAGAGACTTTTAATTTTTAACTTTTATTTTCTTGAAGCAAATGGAATCAACATTTAGGTAAACACTACCACAATATATAAATTTCCAACCACTCGAAATGGTCCAGAGACAACAAGGACAATACATACACATTTGAATATTCTCGTAAAATTATCGAACTGTCTTTGGTTAAACGACTGCAGACAGTATACCCCCTTGGTATAAATGATAATACCATGGGACAAGGGAACATATGCAAAATGTAATATACGCTTTTTTGTACTTCTTTGTTAAATATTTGTTCGTTTTTTTTGTGATTAAGATTGTGACACGGTGTTGGCTGCTGTACCCCTATTTTACATTTTTATACGACCGCAAAAATTTTGCGATCAATATTGGTATGACGTTGGCGTCGTCGTCGTCGTCGTCCGAAGACACATTGGTTTTCGCACTCTAACTTTAGTTTAAGTGAATGGATCTCTATGAAATTTTACCATAAGGTTCAATACCACAAAAGGAAGGTTGGGATTGATTTTGGGGGTTATGGTACCAACAGTTAAGGAATAAGGGGCAAAAAAGGGGCCAAAAATAAGCATTTTTAGGCAGTTAAGCTGCCTTATGCTACCGCCCTAGATTTGTGTTCTTCCCACTGAATGGTGAAAAAAGTGTTGTTGTTATTATCTAGCTGGCTAATATGTTATTAATAACTAATTGGGCACTTTTTTCGTACTATCAATTCTGGAATACAAAAAATATGACCAGAAAAACCTTAAATGATCGTCGAACAACCCAAAACTTTCGAAGTTGCACATAGGAAGTAGTGCTCAATAGAAATCCTTATGTAATTTATTTTTCCCTGTACTTTTGGCTAAGATGTCAAAGAACAATTGTATGAAATATTTAATCGCCGAAAATCTCTAAAGACAAGTTGTTTACATTTCCCAAATGGCAAATGTCGTAGGAATATTGTTTGTCGGCACTACGTATTACAGTAGTCTAAGTTGGCGGCAATTTTAACTTAGAAGACGAAATTTACGTACCGTTTAAATTTGGAGGATTCTGATGATAGAAGGGTAATTATTGTTAATCATGATATTCTTTTTGTTTGAGATGAGTGTTAATAAATTGTGTATTCACATTTGAATTTCTTCCTTTCATATTATTCCGTTTTCACATAAATGACCTTGTCAAGTATTAATGCACCAACAGGTGGTGTTTACACTTGTTTTTATGAATGAAATATTTAAACCGGAAATCAAGAAAATCAAGAAGGTCTCACTAATATGCGAAAAGAAGATTGTAGAGACAATAAGCGACAAGTAGAAAAAAGTTAGCGACAGGAAGAATGAATTTGCGACAAGAGGATAAATTTAGAGACAAGAAAGTTTATATACTATTAAAATAATAAATTTAAAGAAAAGTCAATTAATTACAGTTGATATTTTTCTGTTTTGTAAAGTTTTAAATTCTGTTGCATTTAGTAGCCCTACGTACTTCATGACGCTTCTTGTCGCTTCTTGTCTCTAATTAGTGTGACCTTGTAAATATGTCAATTTTACAGAGAATGACAGTAGAATGTGATATGGATAATAGACCTAGAAAGATCGTTTGATCATAGTAAGTCACACGAAAATGTAGAAAACCCATTCATATATTACTGTATACAGGTACGGATGTCTGAAAAATGAATAAAATCAGCAAATGTGAATTGGGAAATATATGCGGATAGAAAAATTCGATCTAAATTATCTTGATCATGACATGAAGCCAGTTACCGACTCTCAGGCACTTGTTTATATCCATGGGAAGATTTAGGAGCTCATAATATACGTTGATAGTGGATCTTCCCATGCATAAAAACAAGTGCCTGTCGTCCGACTTTGACATTTCAATGTTTATGACATTTTTTCTAAACCAGAACTTTTTTTATTTTTGGGCCTAAAGAAAATCTTGATTTATGGCTAATTTTAAAGAAGCTATATCTTTCAATAAGTGTAAAGTCCAAGAATGTTCGACCAACCGTTTATTTATTCCAATCTTGGTATAGATCTCAAGTAACATCATGGACTTGGAGGGGGCGGGTCATTTACATTTACTAAAGGCAGGTCAATCAGACGGCCTCACCTTTGATTGCTGTAATAGTAAGGCATTATCTGATTTGTGTCATTGTACCGTAGAACTTAAATTGAACAAACTCGGTGTTCTCCACAGGGAAGCAAGTCAACTCGCACTATTGCAAAGTCGTACCACGCCAACCAACTGATACCACTAAAAGTCAACTCAAATAAACATTAACTACTAAATTTTGGTATTTACAATATAATTCTGTCTGATAGACCTATCAGAGACCATGAGTCAACTTACAACAGAGGCAGACTAGAGCATACTATTAAATGACATGTAAATTGTATGTATAGAATTGAATGAAAGAAATAAAATTTAACATAATTTTATCTCTCTGACTCTCAAACTGCTCATCTTTTTAATTTGTCGAAAATCAAACTTTGATCTAACCCAAAAAAAAGAATATCCCATGATCCCAAAATGATTTCTTTTCAATTTCATGGACAAAACTTGTGTAAATATATTTTATCATGATTGTATGTCTAAATAAACAATATAAATTTTTGTATTTGTTTTTATTTCAGCTAGATTCCAATTCTTGGCTTTAATATCTTAGAAGTGACAAGACATACATGTACAATATATGAGACTATCTAGTAGCTGCATTGACTAGTCATCATAATAATTCCATGACCGCTATGAAACATTAGACCTTTTTGATGTTTCGAATATAGTTAAACATGTACATGATCTACAGATATGATCAAAGTACATGTATATATGAAAATTTTTACCAGGTCTTATCATATGACGACTAGTCAGACAAATTTTGGTTCAGAATTCTGACAGGAATTTTTACAAAATTGCCACGGGTTACAACACATGAATATAATTTGTCATGGAGTTTACTGTAACGGTCCAGCTATTAAAGGCTGTCTAATGATACTATCAGAACTATGAAATGTCTGTGCAACTGTTACTATAAAATGTAGGAGATACATGTACATCGTATCATTGCACACTATCAATATATATACAAGTAGTAACCCAGGTATCAGTTATATAAAGATAGTTTGAATACATAACGATGATACAATGTGCAGATACATGAAATATGTTTTATAAAGTATGTAAGAAGTGAAATATATAAACATATTAAAAAAAGACAGAAAAAATATTTGTATGAAATTTGATGTAAATGTAATAGGTTGGACACTTAGAAGTACAATAATGTAAAAGAAAATTAAACGCATTTCTAGCCTAACAACATAATCTTTTTGTGTAATATGATCCATGCATGATAAACAATAAAATTACCACGCCTCAAATTGTTCCCAGTATTATTAAGGCCCCGCCGAATGGCGGACGCCCTATAGTGATCAGTCTGTCCATCCGTCTGTCTGTCTGTCTGTCCGTCCGTCCGTCCGTCCGTCCGTAACAAATTGTGTCCGCTCTATATCTAGAGAACCGTTATGATTTCAAAGTTTATACTTGGCATGTATATTAACCAACATTAGAGGGTGTGTCATAATGTATGTACAACTTCCTAGGTCAAAGTTCAAGGTCAAAAACTTTGGTTTTAGTTGACAACCCCATGTCCTATGGTAAAGATCGTGTCCGCTCTATATCTTGAGAACCGTTATGATTTCAAAGTTTATACTTGATATGTATATAAACCAACACCAGAGGGTGTGTAATAATTTATGTACAACTTCCTTGTTCAAAGGTCAAGGTCAAAAACTTTGGTTTCAGTTGACAACCCCATGTCCAATGATAAAGATACAAATTTTTTACCACACATTATTCACAGCGGGGCCCACAGAGATGGCTCCCATCTCAATGATATCTAGTTAAATCAGTTTTTGTACGGAGTGACACCTGCTGATCTAACTAAAAATGCTAATGTGGCATATGAATTTTTCTTATGCAGGAATAATATCATCAGAATTAAGATTTTCCACAGTGGTGTATAGCTTAATTCCACTTAGAACATAGTGGAATTAAGCTATACACCTGTGTGGAAAATCTTAATTCTGATGATATTATTCCTGCATAAGAAAAATTCATTCATCAGTGTATTGAGAAGTTGATAGAAATAAGCATCTGTATGTCACATACGGCCTGTAACAATGTGCAAAACCCATACTGCATAGTATAAAGCTGTAAATGGCCTTGAAATGACAAATGTAAAACAATTCCAACAAGAAAACCAGCGTCCTGATTTATGTACAAATCAATAATGAAAAATAAATATGATATACAGCAACAAATGACAACCACTGAATGACTTTGGACAGACACACACGTAATCTGGCAGGGTTAAACATGTTTACTGGCGCCAGACCTTCCCCTTACCTGGGACAGTGTACATACATCTTCTCATACAATCTATCATCGAAAGGATACATATTTAAAGTAATTTAAAAATGAATAATAAACGTTTGAAAAAAATGGTATATTGTTAGAGAAAAGTGTGTAGGATAGTGGAAATCAGTACAGCACATGACAAAAAAAAATCTGAGACATGAGATATAACAAGCTGTGATAAACAATTTAAGCAACACTGCCACAGTTTTCATCATGTTTTTGATTAACTGCCTTTAGCGCTTACAGTGCTTTGATTGTAACTTCCAGACAATAACTTGTGTGTAAGTGTATGGATCTCTCTGAAATTGTACCACAAGGTTCCATATCACAAAGGGAAGGCTGGAATTGATTTTGGGGGTAATTGCCTCAAAATTTAAGGAATTAGGGGCCAAAAAAGGGGCAAAAAACAAGCACTTTTCTAGTTTCATGACAATAACTTGTGTGTAAGTGTTTGGATATTTCTGAAATTGTACTACAAGGTTCCTTATCACAAAGGGAAAGCTGGAATTGAGTTTGGGGGAAATTGCCCGAAACGTTAAGGAATTGGGGGCCAAAAAGGGGCCAAAAATAAGCATTTTTCTAGTTTCCAGACAATAAATTGTGTTCAATTGTATGGATCTCTCTGAAATTGTACTGCAAGGTACCTTACCACAAAGGGAAGGCTGGGATTGATGATTGGGGTAATTGCCTCAATATTTTAGGAATTAGGGGCCAAAAAGAGGCAAAAAACAAGCATTTTTCTAGTTTCAGGGCAATAACTTGTAAGTGTATGGATCTTTCTGAAATTGTACTACAAGGTTCCATATCACAAAGGGAAAGCTGGGTTTGAGTTTGGGGGTAATTTCCCTAAACGTTTAGGAATATGGGGCCAAAAAGGGGCCAAAAAACACATTTTTCTAGTTTCCAGACAATAACTTGTGTTCAAGTGTATGGATCTCTCTGAAATTGTACTGCAAGGTACCATACCACAAAGGGAAGGCTGGGATTTAGTTTGGGGGTGATGAATCATAAGGGGGTTCAAAAAATTTGGGGGGGGGGGGGGTTTCCTTTTTTTTCTTTTTTTCCTTTTTTTTTTCTTTTAATATTTTCCATTTTAAGTTGGTTATTTCTGATTTATATTTAAAAGCAAATAATAATGATATGGTAGGAGATACACACCAAACAGGATGTGTAAATTATTATATAATAAGTTTTGTGCAATAGCAAGAAATTTTCAATTGCACAGTATTGCAAAATAGCAAGAAATCTTCAATTGCACAGTACAGTATTGCGCAATAGCAAGAAATCTTCAATTGCACAGTATTGCGCAATAGCAAGAAATATCCAATAGCACAATATTGCGCAATAGCAAGAAATTGTCAATTGTACAGTATTGCGCAATAGCAAGAAATATTCAATTGCACAGTTTTGTGCAAAAGAAGATACTTCGTATAAATTGCTTATTTCTTGACCAATTTCAATGGGGTTTTATTCTTGAATTCTTGGGGTTCTTTAATATGCTGAATCTAACCGTGTTTTAAGTTTTTGGATTTTGGGCCCTTTTTTTAAATTGGTCCATATTGAGGTCCAAAGGGTCCAAAATTAAACTTTGTTTGATTTTATCAAAAATTTAATTATTGGGGTTCTTTGATATGCTGAATCTAAACATGTATTTAGATTTTTGATTATGGGCCCAGTTTTCAAGTTGGTCCAAATCGGGGTCCAAAATTAAACTTTGTTTGATTTCAACAAAAATTGAATATATGGGGTTCTTTGATATGCTGAATCTAACCATGTATTTAGATTTTTGATTTTTGGCCCCGTTATCAACTTTGTCCACATTGAGGTCAAAAGGGTCCAAAATTAAACTTTGTTTAATTTCATCAAAAATTGAATTCTTGGGTTTTTTTTATATGCTGAATCAAACCATGTATTTAGATTTTGGATATTGGACCATAATAGGTGAATGTCCAATTTAAAATTTTTAAGTTCTTAGACCACATTCATTCTGTGTCAGAAACCTATGCTGTGTCAAAATTTTTTAATCACAATCCAAATTCAGAGCTGTATCAAGCTTGCATGTTGTGTCCATACTTGCCCCAACTGTTCAGGGTTCGACCTCTGCGGTCGTATCAAGCTGCGCCATGCGGAGCATTTTATTAACTATTATGTCTGTTTGTTTTATTCACGCAATATAATGGAAATTGATGCCACTGTCATACAAATGAGAGGTTTAGCGCTGTAAAACCAGGTTCAATCCACCATTTCTCTACATAAGAAAATGCCTGTACCAAGTCAGGAATATGACAGTTGTTGTCCATTCGTTTGATGTGTTACATGTAGTGCTTTTGATTTTGCCATTTGATTAGGGACTTTCTGGTTTGGATTTTCCTCGGAGTTCAGTATTTTTGTGATTTAACTTTATGCAAAATTACTCTGTTGATATCATGAATATTCTTGATAAAAGAGAACGTATTAATAGGTATTATGAAAAAACGCATCAGTCGGAATCAACGAATTCAACATCGTATATATTATACACGTGACGAGCTCCTATCTATATTTAAAAACAAAAAATAATGGTAGTTATCAATTAGTATGTAAACTTGGTCAAATACCAATTAGAAAATAAATGATATCGTTCAATGAAAATGACACAATCTAGGTTTATTTTCAGCCCACTCTATGAATGTACGCGTATAATTACAGTTTTTTGTGGACGTAGGCTGTTCCCGCGTATTAATAATCTTGAAGATCATAAATATATTTATCTGATAATAATGTATATTAAACAGAAGTATTGATTTTATCATATTTTAAGACTCTACCATTCATTTTTTTTTACCTACCTTCAACTTCGTAAATTTTTGTGCCTTTTTACTTTTTTAATTCGATCGTCACTGATGAGTCTTTTATAGACGAAACGCTCGTCTGGCGTACAAAATTTTAATCCTGGTATCTACGATGAGTTTATTGATAGGACCAACTGTGTTAAATCAGACATTAGTAAAGAAAATAATGTATGTTTGAACTGAATGAATCTTTTTACAGATATTTTTGTGGTTTAGAACCTTTTTATACATTTCCTGATATCAATAATTGAAGTTACCCTACCACCTCTTATATGCCCTTGTCATGCTTGTAGTATGGACTATTTTTCCATCTTGTTTGTGAAATTGATCGCTGAACGTGAAATTAAAGAACTTGGCAATATTTTGTTTCATTTTGTATGTGAAATTAAAGGTATTGGTCAATTCTGCTTTATCTGAATACAAAAACAAGTCGACCATGCGCAGTGAGAACTTCTAGGGATGCTTACTGATTGTTGAAATGTTAACCAACTAACTCTACAAATGTCTTGTCGATAAAAAGTGCATATCGTCTTCGGTGTATTTTTTGTTATTGGAATTAGTGGGGTTCTTAAAAAAATAAAATGTTTCATGACCTTAATTACAAAATTTGACTGGTTGATTGATTGATTCATTCATGTATTGCTTTACGCCGCATCATTGCAAAAAGCTATATTGCAACGAGTAGGAAATTAAAAGAAAAGGTACTATAATAATGCGAAGATGTAATTGGTCTTTTAAGATTATGAACTGTGGATTCATTTGTATTCATGTGTACAAAGTTTCGTCGATATTTAATTTCGTGGTTTTGCCAAAGTCATATGAGTACTGTAGTCTAGTCAAACTAGTCAGTCAGTAGGGGGTCACAATTAGTACTCATTGCAAACTTTCTGTTGAAATATCACCCCTAACCCCCCCCCCCCCCCCCCCCCCCCCCCCCCTCAAAGTTATGAGAATCGGTGAGGTTCTTTATAAAGTTAGATTTTTCATGATCATAAACAAGACATAAGTGACTACGATTCCCTTGTTTGTATTACAAAAAAGCCTTTAAATGCTTTTATCCTGTTTCAATTAACATTTAATGTTTTTACAATCATATGTGTTAAAGCTTACTTTTATCGCGTTAAACCATT